GGACAACAACGTCGGAAGTGCTACCGAAGTCTCCATTTACCATCCCGACGCTGTCACCAAACACGACCAGGTTGGGGCTGAAATGATATCTCGAACGATTGAGATTTTAGGTTGGCACAGCACAACTGAGTCACGTCAGTATGCGAGTAAGGCGAGTAGGGTTAACAGATTGAATTCCTAACAAATTAGAGTAAGTTTGCTATCTCATTAAATGTCAACGGAAAATGCCAAATATATTTTCGTTTCGAAAGGGTTTTTAAAGTAAGGTTGTATAATTAATTATCATGTAGCTTTATCTCAAGATATATCAGTCACCTCAGGATCCGGGCACTTGAGTGAGTTTATTTTCGGCCACTTTTAGAGGTAAAGCCCTGAAACATAGCTACTTAAGTATGCATTTTGGACGATTTTATTCATGCAAATATACTTTATATAAAACATGAATGAAAATATCCTTTCTCCCATTCATTTGGTACAAAATGACGTCTTCAAAATTTACGCTTTTTAAAAAGCTTATATTCGCGAAGACTTTTGGGCCTAACACTTAAATTTAGAATTTCTAGTCCACATGCTGTATACCTTTCGCCTAAAGGAAATCATACATTTCTCTATGCTTTTTGAGGGACAATAGGCAATGGGTATGGTCCATGCTTGTTACTTTATAAATAACATTAATAAACAGATAGATACGATCTTAATAAATTGCACAATAACAACTTTTTTAAACCAAAAGGCACTCTTTCTTCACTGCACCAAACATACAGTTTAAAGAAGACGTAATTTACTACCCAATAAATGCATAAAAGAATATTTTTGTGCATGCTTTCTATAAAATATATTTGAATGTATAAGTGCATCGACAAGCAATGCGCTCAACTCACACTACTTAAGTAGTCATTCTTTTATAGTGCCCTTTTCAATGTGGTCGAAAAGGAGCTTGTTCGAAAGCCAGCATCACAACTTGACTGGTATATCTTAAAATTGGCTGCAAGCTAATAAATATTACAATCCTACTATGTTATTTTATTCAAGTCGCAAGAATGTACCTTCGAAAAAAACTTTTCCGTAGTCAAAATATGCTAAACATATTGCCGTTATTTTATTACAATTACTTACGGATTGTTCTTTAAATTCCAACAAATTTTCGACGATTTTCTGTGTTTTCAAGCTTTATTTCATAAACATGGATTCTGTTCGGTGTTCAAATCAAAACCTTTAAAGTAACATATCTATTTGAAACATTTACTGAAAAAGAGTTTTTGGATATTTGTTCTCATGAAGATGGTCATGTGGGCCATATTTAGAAATTCCTCCAAACACTAAAATACAGTGTCGAGCAAAATGAACGTCCGCAACAAAAATCTGATATTGTTATTCCTAATAATAATAAAAAAAATTCACTAATATTTTACCTCTTAAAAACACTTCAATTAGATCTTCAGCTAACGAATATCTGTACATATTATTTTTCGCAAGGTAATCTCAAGATGGCAGTGGAGAATTTTAACAAGTTTTTGAGTTTGCCTAAAAGTAAATCGTACAGTCTGGTTGGAAATGAAAGAATGCAGTTTCCCTTTATATTGGAGTATTTTTCACAATAGTTCATTACATCCAGGCTCCATTCTAAGCTTATGAGTGCAAAAAAGGGTGGCCGAATATGCACTAAGATTTTGATATGATTTTCATTCTTCTATCAATTCCGTTTCTAAATTACGCATAAGCGACAATCATAGTGTATAAACAGTATATTCTACATGATTTAGATTTAACAAGATTTATTTTTACCTTCATCTTCGCGATACTATATAGGCAGTTTTGGTTACGTCCCAGATAGTTGATGCGATAAAACAAGCTATGGTCAAAACTTTTTGTTACTGCATTTTTTTGGAAAAAGCTTCGCACATTAGCAGGAAATAATTTTTAAAACCGAAATTGTTCCTTGTTTCTGAAAGTAACTGCGATTCCTTAAAGTGGGCTTCACTTACACTTGATCACATTCAGACTAAATTTTCCGATTCTGGAAAGGATATATTTTAAACTTTTCCTTCTTATTTTGGGTTCCTTTTATAGCATAATGTA